CATATACCAATTTCTTAAGGATTTTCACCGGTATCCAAAAATTATGAAAAAATTCGTGCAAGTAAAACACTACAATCAAAATACTATGGAGAAGACGGTTTATGGTTTGGAGTTATAATGACTCTAGAAAAAAAAATTGACAAAGCCAAAATACGAGATATTACAATCTACCAACCTTAAGAAATTGTCGTCCCCAACATTTACCTTAAGGATTCGGGCATAGAGTAAAGATAAATCAAATCAGTTCAATCAAAACTCAAATCAAATCAAAACTCATCAAAAATCATACAATCATACAGTTTATTCTACCAAATGTCGTTCAATTATGCATGCAAACTAATGCACCTGAAACTATCCATTATACCCAACTCTCAATCAAATCATATAGCTCTGGTAAAATCAATTCTTCCAACAATTGTGCTATGATACCAATTGTGATGCCCCAGAATCTAAATTGGAAGAATTATTCATATAAATCAATTTGAGACTTTAAAAATTATAGAAAAATATCCATAAAATAAATCATTTTATTTAGAAAATATCGGTGAAATGGGTTTGCAAAATGGACACCTGACGATCACGAAATCCTCACTTGTACCGACATATACAAATTTCTTAAGGATTTTCAACAATGTCCAAAAAAATTACAAAAAAATCGTGCAAGTAAAACACTACAATCAAAATATTATGACGAAGACGGTTTATGATTTGGAGTTATAATTGTAGAGTTTTCTTCTTCAATGCCGGCACAGCATGAGGAAAATACCATAAACAAACTAAGAATTAAGAGGCTTTTAATGCATATTCAAAACAAAAGAAGAATAGCTTCTCAAATTTTAAAAGAATCTCGTCCAAAACCTTTTTTTCTTTCGCTTCAGATTTTTTTTTTTTTTTTTTTTTTTTTTTTCATCTTCATCTTTTTTTTTTTTTTTTTTTTTGAAAAAAACACGGATTGCCAGACAGTTTATACTTTGCATCATTTTAAGGGTTTTGGGATCCAATTCTTTTTTTTTTAGAAAAATGATCTATTTTCCTCATTTTCGAGCTTCAGCAAGACTCTAAAATCAAATTGACTAAGAAAAAAGGGATTTTTATTCGAGTATTTGGCTTAGAAAGTGCAGCAACGACTTCTGGAAGTCTACCTACACGGGAAATTCTGACCCAATGAAGGAAAATCATAATTCACAACCGAAAGAGAAGGTTCAAGTCGTCATCCTACAGGAAATGTGAATCGGTCTCAATATTTTTATCATTTGAAGTCTAAATAGAATTGAATCGCACCAGAGGAAATGAGGCATTTCCTTGAGACTCAAATATAATGTCAAAAACTTTATGCCATAATGTGATTTTTATAGTCTTTTTATTAGCAAGCTATTTATGGTGTTGCATTGATATCGAATGGATAAATATTTTTATACCAAGATTGCCACCTAACATCAATATTTATCGACGACCACAACAACAACATCAAGCATTTATTCCACCATATGGGTCAGCTACATAAATTATTTTTCTCCATTGTGTCGTATTAACAGACAAATTCTCATTTAAATCTAATAAATAAAGGTCATTTCTAATATTTTTTAACCAAGTCTTTTTAGGACTACCTCTATCTTTCTTAACATAAGTCGAATCTAATACATGTACTTTCCTAATTGGGTCATCGGGAGGCTGCCATTTTACGTGACCAAATCATCTACGGCGACTATCTCTAATCTTATCTTCCACTAGAGCTACTCCAACCTTTTTACGTATATGATCATTTTGTATCCTACCTTTAAGAGTAAAGCCACTCATCCACCTAAGCATCCTCATCTCTCCAACAGTTAACTTAATATTATGCTTCTCTTTTAATGGACAACATTCTGCACCATAAAGCATTGTAGGTCTCACCCACCATCATATAGAATTTTCCCTTAAGTTTGAGGAGGACATTTCTATCACACAACAAGCCCGATGCATTCCTCCACTTCAACCATCAACTTGAATTCTACTAACAATATCTCCATCTATTTCACCATCATCGGAACAATAGACCCAAGATATACAATAGACCTAGGTCTCACCACCATCTTATAGTATTTATCGACGATAATAAAATTTTGTTCTATGCCATCTTAGAATTATTTCAAGCAACCTAATCATTAAAAAATTCAAATTTGTCGACTTCCATGGACTCTTGGAACAACCACTATCAAAATTGTTTGGTCTTCTAGAGCTGATCCTACCCCTTGCAGGCCTATTTGACCAACCCATGGTGAAATCATCCAATCAATTTTTTCAAGTTAAGGAGTGATGTGGACAATCCAATTCAAGTTTCAATTGCGTTGATGTCAGTAAAGAAAGTCAAAATATCCCTCTCATAATTTCTATGTCATATTTTTACACATTTTATACAGTTATCAATATAGAAAGAATTTACAGCTTTCATTATTATAAGGAAGGGTGACTATTTATAATCCCCAGCTTAAATTAGTAGAATTACTTTGAACTAGGATATCCCATGTGATTTCTCTCTAATTTTCCACAATAAAAATTCTATCTCATGTGTAATGTTTGCAACTTTCTTGTTAGAAGGCAATATCTTCTTACAACACAAACAAAAAAAGACTCTCAACCGTCACAAATATTCTAGCTTGTGAAAAAACTGATTAAGTATATAATTTATTACAAGATATAATTAAAAGCCTCATTTTAATATTGATCTTTCACCTCATAGAAGATTTTTAATGACACAAGATATTATCTTTTCTGTCAGTTAATTATTTAAAATTAATTTAAATCTTTTAATAAGTAAAAACAAGAGAGTAAGTATCAAATTATATTTTTACAACTTAAATGACTTTCAAACTAACAAATGCTAAACTTCGACCAAAGCTTATAAAAATTTTAGTCCATCTATTTTCTAGTAAATGCAATAGAGGCCAATACGACGCTGACAAAGACATGCTATGAATTAATGGATTGAACTAGAATAAGAATCAATAAAGTTACCATTAATGTAGCAAATCATACGCTTTAATATTTATAAAAAGATTAAATATCAGTCACTAACAAGAGTTTAACTCGTAGCAGCTGGAGCAAAAGATCAAAATCAGCAAATATCATGAATTCAGTGGCTACATTTAGTTAGTTGTTTTATTTATAAGTGCAGTTTAGAATATATTTGTACCTCTATCAACTTAAAATTGTTACATATATTCTGAAATATAACGAGAATCTAAATCTAAAGAGCTTAAAAGTCTTGCATCCATGAATAAGCCCATGACAGATTGTTCAATAGTTGTTATCAACCTAACAGGAATGGCTATTTTGGAATACACTAACAAGAAGATAATTAAGCTATTTAATATTGGCAGTTAAAGGATGAACGCAGTAACTGAAGAGAAGAGAAATGGAGTATGATATAAAATTTGTGAGAAAAATATCTGCAGGTAAATATATCAACCATAAGAGTACAAAGCAAACAACTCTAACTTCCTGATTAGCTTGAAATCAAAGATATGAGGCTATGGATAAAATAAATGCACTGTCAAGATTTAGCTTAAATTTAGCACTGATTTAGGCAAAATCTTGACAAACATTTTTTTTAGCAGCATAATTCCAACTATCTTCTTAAATCCATCTTTCTCCAATTTTAGTTGAAATCACCGATTTAGTAAATCCGCGGAAGTAGGATTTATGAGTTTACACCACTTTTACTCATTGTGTCACTTCTCCATCATTTATGAGTTTACACCACTTTTGCTCATTCCGTCACTTCTCTTCCATCATTTAAATACTAAATTTTAAGAATATTTGCCAAACAGTTTAATTGGATTTAACCATATCAATATCTTTCATGCTAAACAGTTTTCAAAAATTAACACAGTGAATGCAAAGCATAGTAAATAAATGCTTTGGTTGGAGGAAAAGAAAATGCAAAGCATAGTAAATGCCTTGCTTTTTCACTTTTTGGTGTTTGGTTGGATGAAAAACAAATCCAAAGTAAAGTAAAATAAATGCAGTGTATTTCATTCTAGTTCAATTTTGAGGTTAAGTGTTCTACCCCAATTTGGGCGAGAACACTTTACACCGCTTGCTCCTTGCTTGACCATCGTTGCCGACGACCTCTGTTGCCGACCATTGTTGTCGCCGCCCACCTCCTCCGCCGCCTCCCACCGCCGTTGCCGCCCACCACTGCACACCGACATCCTGCTGCGGCTGACAACCATGGCCGCCAACCGCCGCCGGTCACTGTCAAGCACCGGCCACCCTGAACACAACCTTTTTACAATTTATATTGCATTCACTTTACTTCAAACCAAATAAAAAAAAGGTAAAATCCTGTATTTATTTTTTACTCATCCAAACAACTCCAAAGCATTCCTTTTACACTATATTTCTTTTACATCCATTCCTTTTTCAGGCAACAGAACAGCGCCTTAGTTCTCTGAAAATATCTACTTTGAGCTAAATCGAAACCTGTTTAATGGAGAGAATTTGTGTCTCTAGAAAGGTTCCCACTTTTTATCCTTTGAGAAACTAGGTTCAGTTTGAAGTACGTTAAACAAACAAATAAAATTTCTTACACAAAACACTTTGAAGAAACCTTAAGCACAACAGGACACAATAGATTGAACTTACTAGTCGGTAATCAAATTGAATTTAATAAAGACAGAAAATATTTAAAAATAAAAGACTAAGAAATAAAATGTACCTTAGTGCTGTGAACCTTAGGATCATTCAATTCTCGAATAACATTCATCAAGTACGAATGAGCTTCTGACTTTCATAACTTACTGTTTCAATTAGTATGGGTTTGTTAAAATTTCAGGCCATGATTTTCCCTAAATAACAAACCCAAAAATAGCATCTTTATCATCGCGTGTTCCTCATGATGTATTCTCCCAACTCAAGATTTTTCCTGCAGATAATAGAAATTCTCCTTTTTCTTCGGCTATAGAATGAATGCAGAAGATAGTCCAAGAAAAAAGAAGAAATATATACTTCAATGCACAGCTCACAACCACAGAATACTTATAAATCTTCCTAAATCAATAACAAAACTAATTTAAGGAATTAGAAGCTTTTCATCCGCATGAATATTGTTCCAAGTACATTGATTCTCTATAGGACCCAATTCCTTCGTAAAACTTGGGTATGGACAAATCTCCTTTTCGTTGTTCCTTTTTATTACCATCAAATCCAGTGAAGGTCTCATCCAACCTAACCATTGAGCACATGGCCTTTACCCATTCCTGTAACCCACCCAAACTATCTTTTTCTCTAACCTTTTCTAAACGTTTGATGGCTTCCTTTGAAACTCCCCTCTTGAGCAGAATAATACCAAGAGACTTGAAAGTAGCATCATCAGGTTTTATGCCTATAGACAACATTTGTTGAAAAGTTTTTAGAGCCTCCTTCATTCTTCCATCCGCAGCATAAAAACCAATCAAATTATTGTAGCTAAGTGCATCAGAAATGAGTCCTAAACCATGCATCTCTTGAGCTATCTTATAAGCTTCATCAAATCTCCCCATTTTTTTGTATATGCAAAGCATCATTGCATATGAGAACTCATTTGCTTCTCCGTTAAGCTTTAGGTGATGGAAGATATCCTCAGCCTTCTGAACCATGGCATTGTCACAGTAAAGATGAATCATACAATTTGAAGAGTATAGGTGAGGACCACCTACCAAAGATTTTGCTAACTTATAGGTCTCTTCTGCTTCTCGTAAATACCCAATCTTTGTATAAAGTTTGATCAATGAATTGCAGATGATAGAGTTGGGAACCAAACCCATACTCTTCATCAATTCTACATATGTAGCAGCGTCTTGAGCACTCCCAACTTCAGCAAATGCATTTATCAAAACAGAGTAGATGATGATATCAGGCTGCACACCAACCTTTATCATTTCTTTAAACAAATCTTCTGCACTTCTGACTTCACCAAGCTTAGTAAAGCTACTTATCACCATAGAATAAGGTACACAGTCACTTACCAGGCCAGCCTCCTGCATACTTCTTACAAAGGTCACTGCTCTGTGTGGAAGTTCAGCATCTGAAAGAAGCTGTATAAGCGAGCAATAGGTGCATATATCTGGCAAAATACCATAATCATCCATAATGTTAAACAAGTCACAAGCTTTATCATATTCTTTCCTTACACCATATGCTTTAATCATCACATTGAACACAAGCACACTAAGCTTACATCTCTCTGTACAGTGAGAAAATGCTTTCTCAGCAAGAAACAAGACCCCTTTCTCTCCAAAAGCATCTATATTAGCAGCATAGCATTCTGAGCTCATCTTAGCACAGAATTTTTCAAACCAAGCCCAGGATTGCTCAAGTGTTCCTACTTTAACATACATTCTAGTCAAAGCTGTTTGACTGTACTCATCAATCTCAAGGCCCTTTATCTCCATTTCCATGACGAGGGATTCAGCATCCTGAACCATGCACCTTACAGACAAAGCATAAAGAAGTGTTCGGTAGCTCACAATATCTGGGACCAGATCAGCGTCCTTCATCTTTTTGAAATAACTAGTTGCCTGAGCAATATCATCACATTTTGCATATAATGAAATAAGTATGTTATATGTTCTTGTATCAGGATAACACTGCAACTCATCCATCATTTCTACTAAAGAAACAACTTCTTCAAACCGTTCATGGTTTCCGCAAATATGGATCATTGTATTAAATGTAACAGTGTCAGGTACAATACCTTGGCTTAGCATCTGAGCAAATGTGTCTGAAGCTTCTCCAAGAAGACCTGCCTTCCCATAAGTATCTATCAGAGTGTTATATGTGTATAAGCTGTAACTATTGTGAGTTCTAGGAGCATAGCCCATAGCCATTGACCACCTCTTGAAGAAATCCTCTGCCTTACAAAACTCCCCAGCCTTCTTGTATGCTTGAACAACAGTCCCCATTGTCACCTCATCTGGTTTCACCCCTTGCTTGTACATCTCACAAAGCCACATTAGGGCTTCCGTTTTCAAACCACCTTTGCTATAAGCATTAATTAATGTGCCATAAGTTGCATTGGTGGGTATAATGCTTTCACATTGCATCTCATTCCAAAGAGACCACATGAGATTCCATTTTCGGGCCATGCCAAGAACTCGAAGCATGATATTGTAGTGAATCACATTGAGCTCATAGCAACCCTTGCTTTTAAACCAGTTGAATATTTCCCATGCCCTTTGCCAATGAGTCTGTTCCTTGAGGATTATGGTTCTTTCCTTGTTGCTAAGGTTCCCTTCCCATGGCTTCAAAGCTTCATCAATATCCTTGACATCTTCCAAGGACTTTAATATCAAGGGCATGCAACCTCCATAGGAAGAGCATTTCATCGTACACTTCGCTTCGACCTTGCCCACCAAATTTACGCCAGCAAGATTCAATTTTGAGCTAAACCTATTATTTTGAATAGATTTCCGCGACAAATTTACCACTAAGAGCTGCTTCTGTGATTTCCTAGAATTATAATCTACAAAAAAAACTTGCCTAGAGTCCGATGAACGCTTAGGTCCGTCGAGTTGTAGGGAGACTAGAGTACAGCAGCAATTGTAGGAGTATAACATATCTAATTCAGATTTTAATTGGCTCTGAAAATAGCCTGGGAAGAAGAGGAAAACATTCCAGGATTATGCAAAGCTACGCACAAAGGGGAGATCGTAGGAGAAGAAAAGGAAAGTTTTTTTTTTTCTTAGACAAATAAGGGCTTAGGTTTCCATATTACAAATTGAAATCGGCGATAATTCCATGAACGGCTCACCTCCTTCCGAAGGGACTCGGGCGACTTTTCAGACCTAAAACCCTTCACACAACCCGACCGGATACCTCGGCTCCCACCTCCGCTCCGCTCTGATCCCTTCGAGTTTCGAAGTGAATTTGGCTGTTTGATTTACCTGGAGGGAATGATCGTTACTAACGCCTCATTACAATGAAATTTTTAATCGCAGGGTGAGAATAAAACAAAGGCCACTCTTTAATTAAGGGATGTAAATGGACCGAGTTTGAGTGGGTTGAATGCTTGATCATATTGGGCTCTTTTGAATTTATGGCTGCTCCAAGTTCGTTCAAGTTCCAAAATAGCTCGTAAGAGTATGGTTTTTTTCTTTTTTTTTTTGGTTGGGTTTTTTTTTTTTTATTTAGATCAATTAAAATAAATTCACACATATCATATATACAAGACTCGAATATAAGACCTCTTAGTTGATAGTCAAAGTTTCTAACCAACAAACCAAAAATAGTTGAGCGTTGGCGAGCTAGTTGAGGTATGTTCGGCTCATATCTGACTTAGACGAGAAAGAGGAAGACCAAAAAATTCGAGATAATGTTGACTAGCCTAAGAGAGCTAAGAGCTGAGAGAGAAAGAGAGAGAAATACGATAATTTGAATTGGGAGGACAAGAGCTTCTAATAATGATGCAATGAACGAGTGAAACAAGATCACTAGTTTGTTCTTAGTTAGGGCATGTGAGGGTTTATAAATAAGGATGTCGGATATTTTTGGTAGAAATATAAGATAATTAATTATTTTTTATTTTAAATTTTATTAAATTTCTATTAGCTAAGTTATCTAAAAGTTTTTAAAATCAATTTAATATAGACATATAATTAACTTACTTTTGATAAAAAATGAGCAGAACACCAGAAAAAAAGACTTGTCATTGTTGCAACAACAATCATAACAACATCAAGCCTTTGCCCCACTATGTGGGATTGCGCTCATTTAAAATTTCTCAGATGGTTGACTTAAAAGGAATGAATTGACGAGCCTAGCTCGAGTTATTAACGACATCCTTATCAACAACACTACGGTCAGCATATCCTTTCTACTAAAAGCAAATGGGATAAGAAATGATAATTTTCCCTAAGCTAACTTATCATCATCCAAAATTTCATGAAGAAATTGGTTCATTATAGATAAGTCAACCTATATATAAAAATGATAAAATATTATCAATTATTTTTGTTAGATTTATCTTTTTTTTTTTTATGAAATATTATTGTCAACGCCTCCACTGAAATTTTATTTCATCAACACAATTTATTTATAAAATTTCTAAAGTTTCTTCTTAGTCATATTATATTGCACATAAATACTATATTGCACATACATGTTTTTAGTAATATTTACTCAAGCTACTTAATTTATCATATGCAACAAAATCAAGGGTTATTTCTATTTGATAAATGTAGACAACTATGAAGATAACAATCATTAAAATTTTTTGGACTAATGATATTTAAATACTCTAAGTTTTCCTAAGTAGACTCTCTGTGATAATTATGAATAAGAGTATATGCATTCATTTATCTCTATCGAGCTTGAAGGAATGTAAAGAAATATTTATGATCTACTTATAATTATTATATCTCTAAAGACCATAGATATTACATATCCAATGTCTAGACATACAAGCATTCCATTTCAATTTTGCTATTGAATTCAATATTTCTTCATCGAGATAATGTATTACACTAGATATTAATTTTATATATAATCACTATATAAATTAAATGAAGAGCGAGCGATATTAAAAATAATTATTCATACTTTAAATCACAATATTCTACATAGGGATTACATAAATATTCATATAATTAGTCCAAAATTATGAGTTTCACCACCCATAGAAAGAAAGAAAGAAAAAATTTTCACACACAAAAATAGAAAAATTATTTATACTTATTATATTAATGAATTCAGGAGCTGACATGCTCGACAAGGTAGCGCCGTGGCATCAGTGTTATAAAATGTTCTCTCAAAAATATTTTGATGCATTCTATTGAATGCGCCAAACATTTTAGTGTATTCGTTCACTAAAAAATTTATTTAGTATCTTAATAAATTTAATTTCAGAAAAAGCGCCAAAACTTTTGTCGTATTACATAAAATGAACCAAAATATTTGATGTGTTCAATTGAATGCAATAAAATATTTGATGTATTAGAATGTATCAAATATAAATTTGCTCTTATTTAAATTTTTAAAAGAAAAACTCCTAAAAAAACTAGTGTGCAGCAATAAGGTCTCGGAGAACAGTTTCGAACGACTACTTGCCTCTCCTCACAAAGGGCAAATTGTTACGTCCGTACATCAATTCAGATGCGCCACGTCATCAAAATACATCAGATCTCAGTGTATTTAGGTGATGTGGTGCATCTGAATTGGATGTCCGAACGTCCGATGACCAGACCTAATAATTCGCCCTCACAAAGAGCTGCTCCAGCTATCCCTACCTAATAGTTTCTATCAAATAAAGAAAACCAGGACCCTCTCAGAGCTTGCTTGCATTAATTACAAGCTAGCTTGGTGGGGAGCAGATGGCATTATTGCAGGTTGTTCCATGATGAAGATTCTCAGTAAAGCCAAATCTCTTTAGGCCGAAGGTGGAAGAATTGGCATCATTGTTTCCATGACAGAAACGCCTGGCCTACTCATGTCTTTGGAGCTTAGCCAAACTAGCCCTCTTCATTGTTTATAATTCTTTATGGCAGCACATTCTTTGCTGTGGTTTTAGACGTTCAGAGGTTTGTGCATTATCTTTTCTCTCATACAATTTGCTTTTAGATGATTGTACGTAGAGAAACTTATATCAAAAATTTTTTAGGAAGATGGTGTTTAATTTAAATTAAAAATAGAATCAAAATATTAAAATAATTTAAAAAGAATTAAATTAAATAAACAACACATTCCACTGAACGTGCCAAATTATTTGGTGTATTTAGAATAAGTCAAATAGTTTGACACATTCAATGAAATGCACTGTTTTGTTGAATGCGTCAAACTGTTTGGCGCATTACTACAATAATTTTAGGCTTTTGTCCGACTGATTGGGGTGAATGCACATAATCATTTGCGGCATTTTTTAGAATGCATCAAATCATTTGATGTATTCTTTAGAATGCGCCATTCTATTTGGATAGTTTGCTTCTAACTAAATTTGTTTAATACTATGCTCTTATTCCTAATTTAAATTAATCGCCATACTCCTTTAAAAAATCCAACTTATATTATATTTATTTTAAAATAAATTTAAATGATATTTATCATGATCAATGCACATGACAGACATAGGTTTTGTTTGAGACGATTTTCTTTCTGCTTCTAAATTTTTGTATTAAAAATCTGCTTTAAAAATCAGAAAGAAAGCCGTCCCAAACGAAACAATAAATTTTGAACTCAAGACCTCTTGATTGATAGTCAAACCTCAGTAATGCATTAACTATCACGGGTGCATTACTTGAATGAAATGAATTCTAATTAGATGATTATTAAGTGTAATTAGAAACTAAACATAATTATAAATTTATGTTTGAGACGTAGTTAGATTTGTCGGGGGAGCAAAGTAATGATTATGGAAAGAATAATTGATGAGCAACCCAAAGGTAGATTTGTGGCTGAAGATTAGGTACGGGGAGACGAGCAGATCGAGACATGCTAATCAGACATGCGCTATGGGGTCCAACTTAGCTGATCCAGACTTGCAAATCAGACTTGGCGATGGGGTCCAATATTGATACAGCTGGCTAACCATCAGAAATTATTGATATGAGCACTTACGCAATTATTTTAATAAAGACATTTTTTTTTTGCTTAATTTTTTAATTAAAAACGTATTCAAAAGTAATTATTTAGATTCAAAGTTTTGTTTATGAAGATATTTGAACTCGTGAAATGATCCTTGATCTATGATACTTAGTTCTCATATTCCGGTTGTTGTATTGCACTAATATCATTTGTAACAGCAAAAACTTTTAATTCTTGAGAAATGGTCCACTTTAGTCTTAAGGTCTCTCAGTTTTATCTTATTGGTGTAATTTTTTAGGAGGTCACACATCCCAACATTTTTTAAGATGAGCATGCTTAACTGCAAAGTTTCTTAAATAAAATTTCAATTATTGCATCAAAAAGTGCTTTGATGTTGAAGAGCTTAACTTTTTTTACTTAACAGATTTCACAGTAATAAATGAGATTGATGTGAATGATAAAATTTGGTTCGTTGTTGGGGAGAAGCCATACGACTTTTGAAGGGGAATAGCTCCCCATGAGAAGATAGATAATGATACACAAATAAATGAGATTTATTCACTAAGACTTTACACGTTATAGTGATAAGGTAATTTACAATATAAAAGAAATACACATAGAAGTTCTATCTCATCTAAGTGGAATATAACGAGCGAGAAATGAATTGGCGAAAGATAATGAGATATATCCTCCTTAACTTCTTTACATGAGTTTTTAAACTTCTTGAGAGAGACATGAGAGGTGCTTTCATCCTTTAGCAAATGGTAGTTATACATGGAAGACAATGTCACTTCTATGGAGGAATCAAGTGGAATATATTCTAACCAACTCAATAAAGGCTCCTCATGTGTTAGGATTTTTACATCAACTATGATTTTGATCGAGACATACCAACTATTAGGCAGAATACTTTCTTTTTGCTCTTTACATAATGGACATTTGTTATATGATCAAAATGGTTAAATTTACATATATTCTCATTTTCATGTTGCATTATTGTTTTGCCTTCACGTCAAATATGATTTTTTTTAATCTTCTCCCTTTTATTTTTGTTGTGTTTTGTTCCTAGTTTTAGGTTGGTTTTTTGTATAGGTTTTTGTATGGCAAAGTGTATGGTCATTTTGTGTAGCTCTTAGGTGCCTATTAATAGGCTTTAGCTTGTATTAGGAAGGCAGCCAAGAGAAATAAGATTTGGAAAAGTTTGGCTCACGTTCTCTCCTTCTCCCCTCTCCCTCCTCCTCTCTCCCTCTCTAGATCTTGCAAGAAGATCTTCCTCAGTTTCTACAATTTTAATCTCCATTTTAAATAAGAGTACTCAAAAGTCAAAATTTTAAAAATTTTGAACTCTATAAATTTGTTTGAGTACATATAAAATATTTGTAAAATAATCATAATTATTAAGAACCTCGATAATTTTGGAATTTTTTTATGCTTGATAAGCTTTTCAATTGAATCATGCATGATAAGCTTTTCAATTGAATCATGCAATGAATTATGATGGCTATGTCATACCTAATATATTTAGCAATATGGCAATGAATTATTTCAATTGTATAAGAGTTAAATTAAATTATTGTTAACTATTCACTAAGAAAAAAACTATTTAAAATATTTAAGTTCCCTTAATTTTATTTTCTTGAACTTTTTTATATAACATGATCAACCTTCTCATAGATTATTATTTTCTTAATAAAAAATATATGATATAAAAATAATGATTTATTTAAATTAATCCTAATGATCACAATATTTTAATCACTATTTATTTTATAAAAGAAACTTATATAAATTAAGAATTTATTTAGGCAACTCTCTCACTACTTATTATTATTATTTTTTAGATTTTAAAAAATCTATATGATATGAAGTTTTTTTAGTATAATTCACAAAAATGTAATAGGTATAAAAAATAGATATTTTATTAAAAATAAATTTATAATGTCACAACAATTTTAAATAATTTATAATAATTTTATCATCAATTTTATAAAATTTCAGATACATCTTCAAGTTTATCTTAACTCACTAGAAGTAATTCAAAAGTGAATTAATTTAAAATTTCAGGAAATTTTATTTTTAAATATTTATTGATTAGCTTATTATTTAATTTAAAGAAATTTAAATTAAAAATTAAAATAATAAAGCATTACCACGCGCTTTCAGGTTCTTGTCCTTTTTCTCCTCGGCCTTCCCCCTTCTTTTTAAAGTGCGACAAGGGACGAGCGATAATGAACAATCAGAAAGGCTACTCTATCTCTTCCCCTACTGTATCGAATGATTTTTAGCGATGATCAAGTGAAATCGGAATTCCTCCGACTTCCCCATTTTCTCCAGGTTACATAAACTTTCTCCCGTCCTTCCCATCGATCTTTGCTTTTATGCGTTTTGACGATTCGAAGGAGGCTGGGGGTGATTGTTCGCGGAAGTTCGCCGGCATGGAAGCACTGGCGAATGCTTGTCTGGCAGGTATGGCTGCCGACTTTCTCGAGCAAGTCTTCTATAGGCATGCTTCTTTCTCCTGGGACGACTCAGGCGTTGCCGTGAAGGCACTGTGGCTCGGTTCCGGCGAGCGGCCCGCCTCGTCTGCTGGAGGCGGCGTAGGGTTTGGCCTAGGGTTTAATTTGGCTGAGAGGAGAGTGTTTGCAACCTCGGAGGAGGGTGATGGTAGCGAGAATAAATCTCCTGAGGAGGGCAATGTGAAACCGTACACGGTGAGCCGCGTGTCTGTTGAATGTTGATTTTCCATCGCCATTTTCTCGTAACAGAAAAAAAAAAAAAAACTAGAAAGTGCGTAAACCAGTTTTATTTGCCGATGTGGTAATACAGACAATCACGCAGTGACAAGCAGCTATTTTGTGCAGGAGGGAGAGACACTGGTACAACTACCGACGAGCATGTCTCTGGAGTTCGGACATGTGCAGTCTTATCAAATCCGGCCAAACTATCCTCCAAAACAGGTCATTATATATACATATATATTTTTTCTTACCTCATATTTTTAATATTATTTTAGGTTTGATTTATGAAGTAGTTTTCTATTGATCTGTATTGTTTCGTGGTCAGGTTTTGCACGAGCAAGCAGCTGAGCGGGGAGCTGAGCCGCCAGGGCCGCGCCCCAAACTGCGGGCGAGGGGTGGACAAGCCACTTATCCTCACTGTATCGCCGAGCGGGTAACTAGCTAGAATCATGCATGTTTTCTCTCATTTTGTGATTGAAGTTTGGTCTACGAGGATTATTAAAAATAAAAGGAGTTTTACGTACATAACATTGAATTCTTACGAGGGAATACCTAAATTTATATTTACTTACATTACACTCAATCTCTAAATCGCTTAAAAAAATGTCACTAATGTTAATTTATCTAAATGAAATATACCTTTTTATATAATATATTTATATGAAAGTTTGCTTGAAAATCGAATCTATTTTTGGCTCGAACTGAAGTCAAAGAGCCGAACAATGCAAGCTTGCTTTGATTGAATTTGAATTAGCCAAGCATGGATTGAATACAGTTAGATCAAAATCAATTCAAAAAATATATGCACATGTATGGATGCATATTCACATTTATTTATGCATGTATTTATATTAGAATTAATTTTTATACATACATCATTTCATTTATATTATATGAATATGTAGAATATTATGTTTACATATGTTTGTCTAAGAATTTATCTCGGAAGATCCAAAATTGATGCATATTTGATTGGTTTTTGGCTGTATCAAGCTTGAATCAAAGTGATCAGGCCATTTTGGGATTTAATTGAGAATGACTGTAGTCATCCCACCAAGACCTAGTTTGACTTGAGATCAGATCATTACAACCTTATTTATGAACTCTTTGATGTTTTTGATAAATCAATGAGTTATTTTACTTTTAAGGGCACACCTAAAGTTTTGTATGCATAATTTGATTAGTAAAGGTTTCTTTACTTCACTATTATATTTATGGCTCATTTGGAGTGGCTATAAGTATTTGCAAAAATAGTTGTAGATCTATTGTGGTAAAAATAGATTTTTTTGAAGTTGTTGTGGCTATTATAGATTTATTTTCTTTTGAAAAAGTTGGACAATAAATTTTTTATAGCTATCACACTTTAGGATATCTAATTGTAAAAGGTTTCTAATCATATAAAGTTATAAAAATAACAAGAAAGTAGTAGCTAAATAGAGGTGTGACAACAATTTGTAAATCAAAATAGTAAAAAAATTGGCCCAAATAAATCTTGATAATCTAATTATGTTAAGAATCTAGTAGCTCTATCACATATTTCACTAATTATTTTTTGGGCCAATGAACTTATTTGATGTAGTACCATAAGAAATGCAATCCTACTGTGGTTTTACGGTCTCTCTTCTCAACTTTACCCTATGATACACCAACACTCCACTTAAAGAGTGAATGCAGTGACGGACATGTGTCGGACACGGACACTCATCCGACACAGCATGAACACGTGTCCAACACTGCATTGACGTGTCACATTTTAAAAAATATTAAATTAAATCAGACATGCGTGCCCTAATATTTAATAATTAAATTAAAAAAAAAAGAAAAGAAAATCTTTATGTATACATGTATCCACCCCCCCCCCTCTCAGCCCTAATTTTCGTTTGGGCGGCTTTCCTTCGTATTCGTCTAGGGCGAATGAGGCGAGCTCCCGTGGCCAAACCGCGAGCAACGAGCAACCGAGCGGATCTTCGCTTCCTTCGTTGTTTCTGCTCGCACTCGAGGCCAAACCGCGAGCAACCGAGCAAGTCTTCCCTTCCTTCGTCGTTTTCGCGTGCACCTGAGGCCAAACCGCGAGCAACCGAGCATGTCTTCCCTTTCCTTTGTTGTTTTCGCGTCCACCCGAGGCTAAGCCGAGCATAAGTTTTCATCTTCTCCAACCCCTACATGTTGCTTTGTCGTTTTTGCACGCAGCTGAAGCAAGCTGCGGCCACACCGAGCATCTCTTCAAGCCCTCTAAGTGGATTTCACCATTTCTTTTCTCCATTCGTCATTTCTTCTCTTCATTTCTCCATCTCCGCCCCCTATTACATTTCAAACCTTTAAGCATTCTTTTTAAGTATGAAGTTTGGGATATAAGTAGTAGTTTAGCAAATTTATTTCTCTTTGTCATCATCCTAAGATTCTTTTTTGTAGGATCCAAATCTTTCCTGTCAAACTTTATTAGGAGTTAAGATTTAATAGTTGTATACATAAACACATGATGCAATAGTTCTTTAATTTTTCTTGAACTTTGTTTGACAAATTTTAAATGTTTTACAATATGTCACCCAAATACCCAATTTATTAAGCCTTTAGTTCTTTAATTGTTCTTGAACTTTGTTTGGCAAATACCTAATTTATTAAGCCTTTATTTTTCAAATTCTACCTAGAGTTCTAGTCTTCTAGACAAAATACGAGCACCTGGAATGCAAGATGTGGTTGAATATAGATAGTACTATTTATTTTTTGTGGATTTGTGTATAAATTTTTTTCATCCTTTGTTTCAACCAATTTCATAGGGTTTGTAAAATGAGCTCTAGTGCTGATGAGAGTGGTTCAAAAGAGTCATATGTAGAAATTGATAAGGAATTATGGAATCATGTTACCAAGTTAGGAAAAAAAAACATTACATTTGAAGGATGGAATGTATCATTCAAATGCAATTATTGTGGTGGCACCTACAAAAGATCATATTCTAGGGTGAAAGCACATCTACTTAAGATTGCTGACCATGGAATTAAAATGTGTCATAAGATTACTACATCGCAGTTGATTGAAATGAACAGATAAGTTGAAGAAGTTGAATCTAGGATAAAAATGATAATTCCTAAAGAGATACCTTTGCTATCTATTCATGGTTCATCCCACACTTCTTCCTCATATGTTAGAGTTGATCATTTATTATCATTTATAAGTGAAGGATATGAAACAAAGAAAAGAAAGGAGTTGACAATAGTTCTTTAGAGAATGCTTTTTACATGCAGCAGTAAGAGGAATTGGATGGTGAAATTGCAAGGATGTTTTTTTCAGCGGGACTTTCTTTCAATCTTGCAAGAAATTCTTATTATAAAAATGCATTCACTTTTGCATGTAATAACAACCTTGCAGGTTATGTTCCACATGACTATAATGCAATAAGATCAAAATTATTAGAAAGGGAAAAACACATATTGAGACATTGCTTGAACCAACGAAATGAGTGTGAAAAGAAAAATGTGTCAGTTTGATGTGTGATGGTTGGACTGATCCTCAAAGAAGACCACTCATTAATTTCATGACCGTTATATAGAATTATCCAATGCTAATTTAAAGCTGTGAATTGTGAAGGATAATACAAGGATAAATGTTTAATTGCCAATTTAAATAAAGAGGTGATAGTCATTATTGTGCCTTCAAATGTTGTGTAGGTTATTACAGATAATGCATCGTTATGTAGAGTTGTAAGATTATTTGTGGAGCAAATTTATCCTCATATATTCTACATTTCATGTGTTGTGTACACTTTAAATTTTGCTCTAAAATATTTGTGTAGCAAATAATACAGAGACTAATGAAATCATCTAAGCTGAATGTCATTGGATAGCAGTGGTTGCATATGATGCAGTTTTGATCAGAAATTCGTTATGAACCACTCAATGAGATTTTGAATGTTTAATAATTTCTCACATTTGAAAATGTTAGCTGTTGCTTAAACTCATTTTGCCTTTGTCATAATCATTTTGAGAAGATTCAAACAAATAAAAAATGCTTTTCAATCTATGGTGATTAGTGTGAAATGATCTTACTATCGAGAAGATGATGTTGGTAAAGCAAGGTATGTGAAAGAAAAAAATATTAGAATGAATTGTGGTGGGATAATGTGGATTATATTTTAGCTTTCACTAATCCAATTTATGATATGTTGAGAGTGGTTGACACTGAAATTATGACTACATTTGATTTATGAGATGGGGGACTATATATTAGCAAAGGTGAATGAAATTATATACAAACATAAAAGAAAGCCATAATGATGAAGACTCAAGTTTTGAAGCGTTGTCTATACCATTTTTTAGGATAGATGGAGCAAAAACAACATACATCTGCATTGTTTGGCTCATTTAAATCCAATATACACTTGTATTCATCTTTTAAACTAATTTTAAATTTATTGGTAAATGAATAAATAATTTTATATACTTTGTATTAGTAGAAGGTATTCAAATAAATAATAGCTTCAAGAAGATCCTCAACATGTCTCACCACAAAAAGATTTAGAAGTTTCAAATATGAGAAATATATGCTTGAAATGATATTTCCTAAATGAGAAGGAGAGAAGAAAGATTAATATAGAACTTGCAAAGTTCTTTGGATATTTAGAGGATTTTAGTGATCAAGAATCTTTCGTTGATAGATGGAGGATGGATCCAAAAATGTGGTTGTTGATTCATGGAGTTTCAACATCGCATTTTCAAACAATAGCAATTAAAATTATTGGTTAAGTATCATCATTTTCTTGTTGTGAGAGAAAGTGGAGCACATACTCATTTATTCAATCGATAAAGAGGAATAAAATAACCTCACAACGAGCTGAAGATTTAATTTATGTGCATACAAATATTCGTCTTTTATCAAAGAAAAACTCACTTTATATGACAGGTGATAACAAGATGTGAGATGTTGTTGGATATGAGTTTGAGTGCCTTGATAATATGGGATTGTTGGAGGTTACAAATCTTTCTCTAAATGAATCGGGGTTGGAAGCAGTGATATTCAATGATGATGATATTGAAGGTCAAAGACCAACTTCTGAATCTAATTCTACCATTCCCTCTATTGAGTAGTTGAACCTTCATGTTGTACTAAATGATTTTCTTCTTATATTTTTGTGATTGTACTAGACATTTTGTACTAAATATTTTTATGTTATAAGCTAAACAAGTTATCATGACCTTGGTTTATTATTACTTGTCATTTCTAATATTATGTAACCTTAATTTTTATATATTATATTAAAAAAATTATTATGCCGTGTCCACGCCGCACCCGTGTTCTATATTTTTAAAAAATGTCGTATCTCGTGTCTGTGTCGGCGCATCATAGACTTTACCTCATACATTTTAACTCTCCACATCCACACTATCTATTACAAGCAAAGTACTAATTTTGACGATAATTAGATATGTTTGCTTCTTT